CCCCATTTCTCCAGGAAGACTCTTGCCCAAAAGCACTCAGCTGCCTCGCTCTGTGGGTCAACATACCCACTGTAAGTGCCTTGCTCCTTATGCCAGGAAGCCCATCACACCATTTCCTGCCAGTCTCCTGATTCTGCTGACTCTGCTGCCACCATTTCTCTGCTGTTACTTCTCTCTCTGTGTCTGGTGTTACCGCTCTCTCTCCCTGTCTCCTGGGTCCAGGAGGTTCCCAGTGCAGGCATCTAGGTCAAAAGGACATGCCCCACTCCCATCTCTTCTTGGTGGTGGTGATATCCCCCTATCCACTTCTGGGATGGCTCATTTTAAGCCTAGCAGGATGACAAAACTGACCAACTCGCTCATTAGCGTTCCATACACCTTATTTGCATCATCCCACCAAACAAGGATGCCAAGCACCTCATTTGCATAGTCCCACTCATTCATTAAGGAGCACTGGTGGTGAATTGATTAAGCACCCGGCTGATAACCAAAAGAGTCGCAGTTTGAACCCACTAGCTGCTCCACAGGAGAAAGATGTTGCAGTCTGCCTCTGTAAAAATTATAACCTTGGAAACCCTATGGATCAGTTCTTCTCTGTCCTAAAGGTCACTATGAGTCAGCATCGACTCTACAGCAGTGGGTTTTCCACCACTAGTCTGTCAGTTTGTCATACTGTGCTGACTTGCATGTTTCTGTGATGCTGGATGCTATACCACTGGTATTTCAAATAGCAGCGGGCTCACCCATTTTGGACAGGTTTCAGCAGAACTTCCAGAATAAGACAGACCAGGAAGAAGGACAGAGCTATCTACTTCTTAAAAATATGGTCAGTGAACGGGGGTCTGGGGACCATGCTTTCAGGGGACATCTACGTCAATTGGCATAAGACAGTTTATTAAGAAAATGTTCTGCATCCTACTTTGGTGAGTGGTGTCTGGGATCTTAAAAGCTAGTAAGTGGCCATCTAAGATGCATCAATTGGTTCCAACCCACCTGGAGCAAAGGAGAATGAAGAATGCCAAAGACACAAGGAAAATATTAGCCCAAGAGACAGAAGGGGCCACATAAACCAGAGACTCCATCAGCCTGAGACCAGAAGAACTAGATGGTACCTGGCTACCACCAATGACCACCCTGAAAGGGAACATAACAGAGAATCCCTGATGGAGCAGGAGAAAAGTAGGGTTCAGAACTCAAATTCTAGTAAAAAGACCAGACTTAATGGTTTGACTGAGACTGGAGGGACCCCAGAAGATATGGCTCCCTGCACTCTCTGTTAGCCCAAAACTAAAACTATTCCTGAGGGCAACTCTTCAGACAAAGATTAGACTGGTCTATGGGACATAAAATGATACTTGTGAAGAGGGTGCTTCTTAGCTCAAGTAGATACATGAGACTAAATGGGCAGCTCCTGTCTGGAGGTGAGATGAGAAGGCAGAGAGGGTCAGGAGCTGGGTGAATGGACACGGGAAATCCCGGGTGGAAAGGAGAAGTGTGCTGTCACAGTATAGGGAGAGCAACTAGGGTCACATAACCATGAGTGTATAAATTTTTTTTATGAGAAACTAACTTCAACTGTAAACTTTCACTTAAAGCACAATAAAAAAAAAATTTTGGCCAGTGAAAACCTCATGAATAGCAGCAGAAAGTCGTCTGATTCAGTGCTGGAAGATGAGGCCCTCAGATTGGAAGGCACTCAAAATGTGACTGGGAAAGAGCTGCCTCCTTAAAGTAGAGTCGACCTTAATGATGTGGATGGATTAAAGCTTTCAGGACCTTCATTTGCTGATGTGCCATGACTTAAAATGAGAAGAAACAGCAGCAAACATACCTTAATAAATGGAACGTGGAATGTACAAAGTATGAATCTAGGAAAACTGGAAGTCATAAAAAATGAAATGGAACACATAAAGATCAATATCCTAGGCATTACTGAGGTGAACTGGACTGGTGTAGGCCACTCTGAACTGGAAAATCATATGTTGTACTATGCCAGGAATGACAAATTGAAGAGAAATGGCACCACCTTCATTGTATAAAACAATTTCAAGGTCTATCCTAAAGTACAACGCTCTCAGTGATAGCACAATGTCCATACTCCTACAAGGAAGACCAGTTAATATGATTATTATTAAAATTTACACAGGAATCACTAATGCCAAAGGTGAAGAAATTGAAGATTGTTGAAAGGTGATCCAACAGAATGTGGAAATTATTGAACAATATCATTAATATCAAAGACAAGTAAAATTTTGCTGAAGATAATTAAAAAACAATTGCAGCAGTACATCAACAGGTAACTGCCAGAAATTCAAGCCAGATTCAGAAGAGGACATGGAATGAGGAATATGATTGCTGATGTCAGATGGACCTTGGCTGAAAGCAGAGAATACCAGAAAGATGTTTACCTGTGTTTTATTGACTATGTAAAGGCATTCGACTGTGTGGATCATAACAAGTTATGGATAGATAACATTGTGAAGAATGATAATTTCAGAACACTTAACTCTGCTCATAAGAAAGCTGTACATAGACCAAGAGGTAGTTGTTCGAATAGATCAAGGAGATACTGCCTGGTTTAAAATCAGGAAAAGTATGCATCAAGTTTGTATCCTTTCATTATACTTATCCAATCTGTATGCTGAGTAAATCCGAGAAGCTGGACTATATGAAGAAGAACATGGCATCAGGTTTGGAGGAAGACTTATTGACAACCTGTGATATGCAGATGACACAACCTTGTCTGATGAAAGTGAAGAGCCTTGAAGCATTTACTGATGAAGATCAAAGACCGCAGCCTTCAGTATGGATTACATCTCAACATAAAGAAACAAAAATCCTCACAACTGGACCAATAAGCAACAGCATGATAAGTGGAGAAAATATTGAACTTATCAAGGATTTCATTTTACTTGAATCCACAATTAACGCCATGGAATCAGCAGTCAAGAAATAAAATGATGTATTGCACTGGGCAAATCTCTGCAAAAGACCTCTTTAAAGTGTTAAAAAGCAAAGATGTCATTTTGTGGACTAAAGTGTGCCTTAAGCCATGGTATTTTCAATTGCTTCATATGCATGTGAAAGCCAGACAATGAATATGGAAGACTAAAGAAGAATTGACACTTTTGAATTATGGTGTTGGGGAAGAATATTGAATATACCGTGGGCTGCCAGAAGAAAGAACATGTTTGTCTTGGAAGAAGTACAGCCAGAATGCTCCTTAGAAGTGAGGATGGTGAGATTTTGTCTCACATACCTTAGACATGTTATCAAGAGGGACCAGCCCCTGGAGAAGAATATCATGCTTTGTAAAGTAGGCGATCAGCGAAAAAGAGGAAGACCCTCAAGGAGATGAACTGACACAGTGGCTGCAACAATGGGCTAAAACATGGCAATGACTGTGAAGATGGCTCAGGACTGGACAGTGTTTCATTCCTTTGTCCATAGGGTTGTTATGAGTCAGAACCGACTTGACGGCACCTATTGACAACAAGAACACCCAGTCATTTGGTGGGAGTTAAAAGACATTGGCAAGAAAGGCCATAAAAAAGCAATCCATCCAACTACAGTTAACTTTGTTATGTTAATGAGACTGTATTAGTGTAGACTGTGTGTTGACTCAATCTCTTCTGATATATGATAGAGAAGATCAAGCAAGCAGAAGTGGGGAAAGATAGATGCCACAGCATATGAAGATTGCCAAAGAACCAAGGAACAAGGACCTTCTCCCAGAGTTGAGAGAGAGAGAAAGCCTTCCCCTAGAGCCGGTACCCTGAATTCGGATGTCTAGCCTCCTAAACTGTTAGAAAATAAATTTGTTTGTTAAACCCCCCCTCCTGTGGTATTTCTATTATAGCAGCACTGGATAACTTAGAGTTTGGTACCAGGAGTAGGGTGCTGCTCTAACAAATCCCTAAAATGTGGAAGTGGTTTTGGAACTGGATAATGGGTAGAGGCTGGAAGAGTTTTAATGGTCCTAACAGTAAAAACCTAGATTCCCTTGAATAGACTGTTGGTAGAATTACGGATGTCAAATGGAATTCTGGTGAAGACTCAGAAGGAAGTGAGGAGAGCGATAGAGAAAGTCTCTATCATCTTAGAAAATACAGAGGGCACTGTCAATGGAATGTTGCTAGATATCTGGTCCTTAAATGTGCTTCTGACTGAAGGAGGCAGAGGCAGGAGGAAAGGACACTGTTTGCCTCTTGGAATTCTACAGGCAGGTAACAAGCCAAAGGAGCTACATCTGTTGTCCTCCAAGAAAAGAAAATGACCATCCCTAGAGAAGTTTCTAGATGGGCAGAACTGTTCAAAGGGGCATGGGAAGCAGGGCTAACTATTTCACATGGTGGGAGCACAGTGACCTAGATCTCAAAGGGTGGAGCCACAGCCCCTGAGTCGGCACCGCTATTACTCATAGGATCCACGCCTCCACACATTGGAGACATTGGTTTCCACTTAACTGTTTTCAACTTATTAAAAGGAAAACATGGCAGCTTCGAATATGAGTGTCCCACACAACTGTAAGCTTTTACCTCAAACGCTAACTTAAAATAGGACGTTGTTACTGGTACTGTTACTTTTTAGTTGCGGAGGAGTACAGTCTGAGCTGGTCTAAGAAGGCTATCTGGATGGGTTTGACCCGCCAACGTTTATGCCAAGAGTTGAGGACCCAACTTTTGAATAACGCAAGGACTTCTCCTCATTAAGGAGAGGGCCTGGGAGAAAGTACACTAACCCCTAGCCAC